TAACACACTCGCTCGATCCGTCCATTACTCGCTCATCTCGCTCTCTGTCCTTCCCCCTCTGCGTCTCCTGCCCCGGCTGGCCGTAATACTTCTCATCCCTCTCGCTTACTCTGTTATTTCTCTCCGACCTCCGTGCATGGCAGATACGCGCGCGCGCGGCAATAGCTGGTTTCAGGAGACAGAAAAACGGCGGGCAGAGAGGGAGGAGGATCGAAAGAGGGAGGGAGGGAGGGAGGGAGGGGAAGAGTGACAGGAGAGAAGCAGAGAGAGCGCGAGAGAGAACCGGGAGTACGATATTCTCGAGTCTAAGATAGGAGGAACGAACGAACGAACAAGCGAGGAGAAAAAGAGAGAGAAAGAAAAGAGAGTGCAAGACGCAAAATCGTGTCCAAGCATTAACGCGACTCTCTCTCTTCCACTTATTACTAGCTTCGTCCGTTTCTCACCGATTCCTCCGTTCTTCTACTCCGTGCGGCTGCTGCGGCGGCAGAGAGGGATTTTAATTTTGCCGGATAAGTATTTATCTCGAAACGCGCGGAGGTTCCGTAATGGACAAGGTGTATTTTCGGCGCGATGTAAATCAACGGACTTACGGGGAACTATACGTGCGCGCGCACATATATTCCCATAAATCTATTTAAATATATGGCCGTGCGTGGCGCTCGCGTGCTTCGGGAAGCTGTACAGCGTAGTAGAGCATTCTATATTGTATACAGCTATAGGAACACAGCTGGTATACGTGAATCTGTAGATACACGTGGGAGCCTCTTCTCGCTTTGACATCGGGGGAAGTGTGTCTAAATTGGGAGTTAAAGGTGGGGCAAGCTCCAGAGAGAGAAGATACACGATGCGGCAGCGGGAAGTTCGACGAGGAAGAAGAGGCGGGGAATTATACCTTCCATTTCGTTCTTCTCTTCTCCTCGGCGTCCTTATAGAAAGCGCTTCTAACGCGCGACTACACCCACGCTTGAAATCCTGTCCCTCGTGTGCGTCGAGGACGAACGAAGGACAAAAGAGGAAGGAATACTGTTAGGATCCATAGAAAGAAATGCAGGAACGATGGAAAAAATACACGAGAGGAGGGAATATTTTCGTGAAGTAGAACAACGATGAAGAGAGAACGTATAAAGGGACGCGCGAAATATGGTAGGGGCCTACAAATGTCTGTCGAAAGGCCGCGCCGGAAAAAGACACGAGAATCAAAGAGAAGCGGCTAGAAAAACTGCACGGGAGGAAACTGGCGCGCGAGAGCGAGCGAGAGAAATCGATGGAGGAGAGATTAAAGCGAGAACGGGAATGGAGAACCGGAAGGACGAACGGGGCGCCGGGCAAAAAGTTTGTCCGAAGGAGAGTAGGTAAAGGGAGAGAAAAAAGAAGCGTGTCCGAGAGGGAACATGTAAAATTCAGCAAAGTGGCGGAGCATCGAGATAAACGGAAGGTCGAAAGACGAGGAAAGAGAGGGAGAACGAGGTGGACGGGATTAGGGGAACAATGGAATCCGATGAAAAGGGGGAAAAAGAAAGGAAAAAAAAAAAAAGAATCAAGAAGAATCTTGCAAAGAGAATACAATACGGAGCACACGACGTACGTACACGATAGAAAGGAATGATGAAAAATTCGCGGCGACGGAACAAGCGAGTCGCGATGAAAGAAGAGTAGAGTAAAGAGGAAAAGAGGAAAGGAAAAGAGGAGGGGATAGCTGTGGCGAGGCCTTCGGCTGTTACGATTCACCATGGGAGACGGACGATCGGAATAAGATCGAGAGGATTGATGATTCCAATGGACGTGTTCGAAAGACCTTGCGTAGGTCGTGCTGGCTTCGTCCTTTAGCACCTACCATGCGACTGAGCACCAACTATCGATCGAACCAACGATATATACGTGACACGCTCGAACCACCGTGCACACATGTACATATACATACGCACACGCACATGCCACGTTTCTGACCCGTAGATGTCGTGTGTAGTCGCGTATATATATGCACGTATACGTCGGGTTATATATACATGTATATATATAGATCGATCGATTGCTGGCCATGGATCGATACGTGCGCGCGCAACCCACCCTCGTTTGCTCGCTCGCTCGCTCGAGGCTGTACGGTAAGGGTTGCTGCTGCCTAAGGTGTTCTAAGGGATGGAGGGGGGTGGTGGTGCCTATTGGATTTCTACGGACTTTTTTATCCTTCTCTCCTGTTTTTCTACTCTCTTTTCTCGATATTTCTCCTTTTTGAAAAACTGTAGATGCCGACCCCAGATAAGGTCTCTCTCCGTGGAATGATTCTATGTATACGACAAACTCGCGTGGTATCAATTATTATTTTTAGAAGAAATTGCATCCCATGACGATTAGAAATACAGCGAAATATTATCATTGAGATTAGAGGATTGTGAAGATATATACTCGATGAAAAATCACCAGATTCTACATTAAATTCTACGAACAATTGCATAATTTTTGAAAAGCATTTATTTCAAAGTTCAACGCGATATTCTTTGAATTGTTGAATCCCCCTGATCAAACGAATTCTTATTTTGATTGATAAAATCGTGTGCGTTTATTTATTTAAGAAAAAAAAAAAAAGAAGAAAATGAATAATGAACGGATAAAATGGTCATAAACGCATCATCTTAAAATATTTATCGATCCGCGCCTCGAAAGCGGGGACCACATTTTTTCGAAAATTCGATGTGCGCGAAAGTTTTTCGTAATCAGCCCATTGACGAAGCGCGTAAAGTGTCGACGATCTACGCTGGCCGACATAATTAAAACTTCCAGAAAACATAATAACTACACAATTAAAGCGCGTCCCTCCGACTACTCCTCTCTCTTGTCAGGGACATCGTGGAACAAGGAGAGGGCGGGGGGAGGGGAGTGGTGGTGGTGAGAAGGAGGGAGAAAAGGGGTCTGAAAAGCGACGGAGACGCGACGATCTCGTCGGGAGGAGAGAAAAACAGAGAAGGACAGTGTGGGGTGTGTGCGCGCAAACGGCAAGGATGGAGAACCGAGAAAAAGAGACAGAGGTCGAAATAGAAAGAGGGACGAAGTGAAACGAAAGAGAGAGAGACGGACGAAAAGAGAAGATTCGAGGGGGTGGCTGGTGGTCTATGGTTAGGAAGGGAGGGAGGGAGGGGGGTAGGGAGAGGGGGAGTAAAATGATGTAAAAATAACAAATTGAAACTGCTGGCCAGGGGAGGGTTGGCGGATAACGCGGGGAGTGACGAGGACGAGGTACGCCGATATTCCCCGAGCTAGACGAGAACGACCGATCTATATAGTCACCGGTGAACAGAGACAGGAACATCAGGATGAACGAGACAGCGAGCAGTGGAGAAGGGTGGGCCAAAGGGGTGGCACAAGTACGTTCCAAGCTGGTGGGGATGCTCGCAGAGCTCCCCTCTTCGGGGGAAAATAGGGGAGGGTTGTCGTACGTGTTAACGCGGCTACTATATATATATATATATATAATACATATATAATACATATATATATACACATACCACATATAATATATACGTATATACATTATATACGCGCTCGCATCATACATATATATATATATATACACAGAACCGGCAAGTCCACAACCGACACACCCATACGGACGTCCCCTATATACGCGCACCCCTTTTCCTCCACCTTCACCCTCTCCAAACGTCCCCTCCTCTCTCGGCTATCCTCGTCTCGCTCCCGGTTCGCACACGGCGCGAGTGTATGTGACGCGAGGGGCAATGCTCCATCGTGCAACGTGGAAATTTAGTTCCCTTCGTGTACACACACGTACATAGAACGTGGAAGGGGCGCGTGTGCGGAGCCCGCGGGTGTGTGGGGTGCTTTACGACTCGATCGTAGCGTTAATGGCACCGCTCGCTCCCAGTGTGTGTAGGTGTAGGTGTAGGTGGTGGTGGTGGTGAGGGGGAATGTGTTGGTGGCCGTCAGAGAACGCTTTCGAACGTATACCATCCACTAGGCCAGCCGACTATATTTCGCGCGACCGAGCAGATTTCACTAATACGGGCCGCGTGGAATACGTACGCGCGCCCAACCGTCCTTGGCGATCGCACACGTGGTGATCGCGAGGGTGAGGGGTTGCGCCTCCCCCTCCCACTCCCCCGGCCGCCGTTCGGACAGTTTCTTTTTATCGTCGTCTCTCCGTTACGTTCGTTTAATTCACGCTTTTCCTGGTCACGCCTGGTGATTGCCGTTGAATCGAGCGTGAACCAGGGAACCGCGTGTAAACGCCTCGATCGGGGAGAGACATTGTGATGGGATCCGGATTGATTTCGCGAAAAGATTCACTGGAGCAACTTCGGTGGAAAGAGGATGATACCGATTTCATCGATTTTTTTTTTTGGAAAACTATTTATGCGAGGATGCGAGGTTATAATTAAAATATGTTTTTAGTTATAATTTGTACTTTTTTTTATATAACGATCAGAAAGTAAATTGTGAAATAACTCTTAAACGATAAAATATAATTGAATTGTAATTCCTTGTGTATCGTTTAATGAACGTTATCCAACGTTTTGTAACAATTTTACTTAACAACAGTTCGAAAAATTAATATTTAATTCAATATGTTTCTCACTAATATCTTAATAAATTCGTATAAAAAATACATATAAAATCATATATCAAATACAATCTTAATAAAAATAATATAAAACCACGAAGCCCTCAACTCATCTTCTCTTCAAAACCGATTTTATTCTTAATCACAACACGGGAACGATCTTAGCCCCCGAAAGCTCCATCGCCGAACAATATTACCTTCCGCAATTCCGTGTCGCGGGAAAGATTCTCCCCGTCAATCTCTGCATTACCGCAAATCGACGAATATGTAAATTTCTACGCAACGTTTGATTCCATTTCATCCCTCCCAAAGGTTGAAATCCCGCGAGCCAATGAAAAGGGATCCGTTATCACGGATGGAAGAAAGAAAGAAATACGATTCGTGGTATATACATATATATACATATATATATTCATCGTCGAAACAGGGTGCTGTCGAAAGCGCGAAGAGCGAGATGTGAAACGCTGGAAGGGGTTGGAGAGAAAGAAAGAAAGAAAAAAAAAACGATTTACGCTCGTCTTTCGAGTTTCATCGAGCGTCGACAGACACGATCTCTCATTAATTACCCTTTCCTCCATGCGTTACGTTATATTTATTCGCGAACTTGTGGCGCGACCGTTTAAAACACGTCGAATGGAAAGCTCGAGCATCTTGTCTGATATTTCGCGGCAGGGAGGGCTCGGTTTTCGATTCATCACCAGGCCACTCGGCCTCGAGTGCTCGCGCGGGAGTATCGTTGTTAATTCTTCCGCGTATATAGGTGTATACACGAAGCGTTGATAATCGGTTTCGCGATTCCGCCAACGGGACCGAGATCTGCTCCAGTTTCGCCTTTGTTCCGACCCGACCCGAGATCGAGCGTTGTTCTAAGCGCGTTCTCTTCTCGTGTTGGCGTTTTTTTTGTGGATAGGTTAGCGTGAATGGATCGAGAGACACAAAGCTGTGGGGATGGTTGTTTCGAAACTGAAGTGTGGGGTTGAACGATGAGGGATGTGACTCGTCGATATTGAAAGCGACGCTTTTGGAGATTGGAAGTTTGATCGTGAAAGTGGGTTCTCTTCGATTGTGCGAAATTTACAGTATCGATACTTTTTTTTATCCTTTATTAGGGGAAGAATCTTTATTATCATTTAATGTATCGTATCTACTTACACGATGTTTTGAAAATCTTTTTTTTTTTACGTTTGCGATTTATGAGAAATTTCATTTAAATGTAATTGTAATTATGTTATGTAATGTTTATATATAATACCATGATTGTCAAAATTCTGATATTGATTTAAATATTTCAATTCGTAATATAAATAATGAAAGAAAAGAGAAGAAAGATACTAGATTGAGAACAGTTTTTCTAATTAACAGAAAGCATCGAGAGCAATTGAAAATCTTAATTCTTCTTTTTTCTAAATCGAGTCCAACAGACACGAAATTTTGATTTCGAATTCATTACCTTCCATATTTCACGAATGGCGGATTCTATTTCTACGGTAGAAAAAATAACAGAAAAAGATAAAGAGAGGAAGAAAAAAAAAAATAAAATTTGAAGATATTTATTCGAGAAATTCCTTTTCACCGTTTTCGAGCAGAGAAACACGAGGAAATATTCAAAAACGGAAATCAGACTGGAAGATAGTGCGACAGCAGCGCCACAGTATACGACCTAATATCCATTTTCACAGGAGGAGCATTATTTAAATAGCCAGACGTCGGAGGCGGCGGAGATATTTTTTTAAATAAAAACTCGTTTATTAGACATCGAGATCGTAGCCATTTTTTGCGAAACCGGAAAATTCATTATGCCGAAAGTAGCAAAGCTCTTTGTACAATTAAGCGAGAATTTTCGCGAATCAACCCCGAATTAGTATTAATTAACTCGCAATTCCAACGGAATTCCGGTATAATGAACGAAACAATTTGGTATAATAAAGCTCGCCTAAAATTACGAACAATTTCAATCACAGTTTTCTATTCTTTTTTTTCAATTATAGATCTTTCTTCTGCTACCTTATCATCATCATCATCGTGATGGAAAAGAGACGCAATTCTTTTCCTATTTTTATTTCCATTTTTCTCCTTTTTATTTTTTATGAAATATAAATCGACTTGTCGTGATTGAACAATGTGTTTTTGTGATACACATTATTCCATTTCCGTTAAATCATCCATATAGATGGCGATGTTGATCACTCTTATTTTTTTTCTCAATTTAAACGTTAAGTCAGTTACATCAATTTCGTGAATTCAAATCGATGATTTCATTTTCAACTTTATTTTTGTTTCATGAAAAAAAATTCCTTTAAGTGAAATTCACTTCCAACATCTGGGTTTCCGTATGCCACGAGAAATATGATTTTATGAATTTTATTAATTAAAGGTTTCATTTATTTTTATTTAAATTAAGGCGATTAAAAACCTTAAAAATAATCTTAAATAGCGGTATAATCAGGAAGTGGAAAACAGTAGATCACGATATTTCCTTTTTCCTTCCTTCGTCTATGATGTTTTGTATTCGAGAGGAACGACTTTGATGGCTCGTTGAGAAATAGGGAAAAGCGTGTTCATTTTACCTTCCTTCGGTTTGGATATATTTGATTTTCCGTTTAATTCGCTCCAAGGAGAGGTGTCTCGACCGTTTTTCACTCACCAGTTTCCTTTTTTTCCCCGTTGAATTTCAACTTTTGCCTTTTAAAAAATCCGCCTCCGATGTTTTGTACTTTTGCTCGAGGAAAAATAAATGGAAAGAAAAAAAAAAAAAAGAAATATTCATCGTATCCGTTGTAATCAAAGAGTTGAATTATAACGAGAGACTCGTTTACATCTCGTTAAAAATAATTAACGCTTATTACATGTAATGAGATTGAAGGGAATACGATTAGCAATTCTTCCTGGAAATACTTTGAAACCTTCACTTCCGTTCTATGCTCCGTTCTATGAGCGTTGAGTGACGTGTGATAAACAGAAAGAATAATAAATCCTCGTTTGAATTAGAAATTATTATTTCTAGTATGAAACTAATTTACAATAATAATAATAATAATAATAATTTACACTTTTCTTCAAAAGTCTTAGAACATCTTTGTTTCAATCCACAGACCTTCCAACGAGATAATTTGTGTTTTTTATGGAATTCTTCTCTCTATATAGAGAGAGAGAATAAATTGAGAGAATAAATCTTCTTTTTCTAAATAGAGAATAAATTGTTTTAATATTGGAAAATATTTAATAAAAATTGTTCGTTATTGATCTTAGATTCTAAATATGAATTGAATTCAAACAAAATGCCAAATTATATCAATAATAAGAAAATCCTAGTGAGAGATCCGTTTGATCTTTACAAATTTACTTATTGAGATGTCGAGAGTCTCGAAGAGTTTAAACAATTAATGAGATTAAATATATTAAATTATAATATATATATATATATTTTTTTCAATTTTTAACAATCACTTAACGATTTCTAATAAACGTATTCAATACGTAATAGTTATCTTAAAATTTTGTGAATAAACGTTGAATTTGATTATTTTTTTTCTCTTTTCTGATCTGTATATCGCACAGCCGATGTTGTCAATTACAATATAATATAATCAATATTATTACTATCGTTGTTATGTGTGGTTGTTATTAGTAAATACAAGGGGTCCAAGTAGCCGCAAAAATGCTCGACGATACTCGAACGCTGGGATTGGACCATTTTGCGAATTGAATCGATCATTTTAATCGAGAATCGGGCAAACAGTTAGCAAATACATATTCAGAAATCATTTGTGCTTGTTAATTATAACATACACGTTCATTAAGTATTCAAGTGATAACGATGTATCGATTTTTAATACAGATAATAGAAGCATTGTCGATCAAGGTAAAATAGGCACTGTTATTATTATCGGTACCAATTATAACAGACACAAGAAATAAACGTGTACTCGTGTAACCGCATCGAGATTATTCAAACACTTCTGATACGTTTGGCGGAATTATAATTGATAGAAATGAAATAATTATTACTATCATTATTACTAGTATTATACTATCGTTAGTTGAAAAATAAAAGAAAATTAATACGTGAAGACGAATGTAAAAAATGTTTAAATTGTAAAAAAAAAAAGAAAAAATATTTAAATTCAAGAATAATAAATAAAGATGACTTTTTTTTTTTATTAAAAATAGAAAATGTATCTTAATATCTGAAAGGATTTTGATACATATTTATGAGTATAATTAATATTTAATTTATTTTTAATTGACACGCGATTTCATAAGATATATTGACTATATATTTTATGTTTCAATGTTATCTATTATCTGTCGATGTATGAATATTATTTTTAATTAAATAAAATTTAAAAATAAGAAAATAATGATCCTTTTATGATTTTAATGAATCCATTTCTCAATGAAAATATAATATATTTGCCGAAATTTAATGTAACAATCTTGGAATTAATTCGACATTTAATCATTAATCAAAGAAAAATTAAATCTATTGATAATTAATTTCATTTTAATAAATTTACATTAGAAATAGTTGGCAGAATTATGATTATTATGAATAAAATAATTAATTATTATTGTATAATTATGTATTAATATTAAATTAATTGAGGTAATGATTATTATTGAATGTATAAAAAATACACATCTATTCGAAATAAGTTTTAACTATTATATTCGAATAACAAAAAAATCGTTCGTATGTGTGTGTATATTAATTAATAAAAAAAAAAAAAAAAAGAAAAAAGAAAATTAGTGCAATATTCTCATTTCTCTCGGTAAATTAAAAAATTCGATATCGCCAAAATGAGTATTAAAATTCTTTCTCTTCTTATTCTTTAAATCAAATTAAATTTCATAGATGTAATATAAATCGATCATTCAACACATTTATTAATACTTCTGATTTTTATGGGACACATACGTCTCTGTGAATATTTATGATTCTTAATCTGACTCGTATGTGTAGTATTTTCTACTTTTACAATCTATTATTATGCATATATTACTGTCATTGATTGGTAATGGTAACATTCATCATTTCCACTGGATAATCATACATTTTTATCTAGACAAACGTATGAGATTTCAAAGTAAGTAAGCAACATAAATCTCAAGGGAATTTTCTATCGCATAATTTTCTAAGATTTTTTTTACCTTAATCTTTCAGTTTCTAATATAATATATTATTAATTCAATAAATTGATCTTATATTTTTATCGAATCATATATATATATATATACATATATATGTCTCGTTGAAAAAAAATTATTAAGATCGACAAATTTTATATTTATACATATACATCTCTCAAGTAATCTCAATTTCTGAAAGAAAAAGGAAATAAAAATGAATGAGAAAAAATCGAGTCGAAAGAGTTAGGAGTCAATAGTGTATCGATTTCTGATGCAATGAATCTTGAAAAAAAAAAAGAAAAAGAGAGAAAGAAGGAAAGAAATAAGACAAGCGGAAGAGTTGCGTGCACGTACGAAAGTATGGGATCGAGAAGTGCACGCCTTCACCCGCTTTACTTTCACCACGCACGGGAAGGAGAGAAGAAAAAAAAAGAGCATACCGCGGAGGAAGTCGGTTCCCACGGCGTCTCCGAGCTGGCGCGTACGCGCCTTCAAGAACCGGAAGTCGCGACCGCGACCGCGACCTCGGTACCCTCCTCGAGCGTCGTCCCTACTCTTGTTAGCTCGACGTCCAGTCCAGACCCTCGGTGATAATAGTCGTTACAGAAGTCACCGGTTTCCTTGTGCCATTAAACCGAAACATTTATAGGAAGAGTTTTTTTTTTTTTTAAAAAGTACGAGTTGAAATTCTCTTCTTTGAAACTGAAAAATATATCGTTTTCTTCTCAAACTATTTATTTTATTGAATTTTTTTGAATTGAAATTTGCATAATAATTGATCAACAGTAATGATAATGATTCTTTTGGTTTATCTTTTATTTCTTAAATAAATTACACTGTAATGCATTGATGGAATCTTTCGGAAATTATTTGCATTATATTTCTTAACTGATTGTAAAATTTAAATTCTAAAAATCGAGAACGTTTCGAAATTCCTAATAATGAACTATCTTTAATTTTTCTTACAATTATAAAAGTAAGCGAATATATTCGAGAAAGAAATCAGATTTTAACGAAGTAGATCATTTGTGTGGCACATATAATAATAATGCGAATAATTATTTTAATTTGATTAATGATTATTATCCATACTTTTCAATAGGAATTATATAATAAAGTTTATTTGATTTAGAGATTAGTTAATTTTTACTAATGAAGAATATGCTAAATAAATTTTAAATTATGAAGGAAATTAATTTCACGCTATATTACTTTAAATTTTCACAGGTCGAGCCAAATCGAGATTATAAAGTCTATAGACAGAATGTGTAATTACGTTTATCTTAGGTATAGAGGCCATCAACATGCAAGAGTTTATATTATACTAGAGGTTATCATTAAGAGGTTAACAACGATGTTGAATTAACCTGGATAAGTTTATAAAAAATTTGATATATATCTTACATAGAATATGGCATAGAATTACATGGCATGTGCAATGAACAGTATTATTTATTTACTATATAGCAATCAATTAATTAATGTTAATGCATTCCTAATTGAATTCAAGATTATCAGTTTGTCAGATATTAAAGTTCAGCAATTAAAATTCTTTCATATTCATGTATAAAAGAAAAATAATGCAACAATTCAATATCATATCATATAAATTTAGAAATGTAT